CCCAGGAGGAGCGCCCCATGAGGGGGTCATTTTAACATAAACGTGTACACTGGGATGACTGAAGCTGAACTCAAGAACTAGTTTCTCGAGATCACCGTTTCTGATCTCATTCAAGATCCCCGTTTCTTTCTTCTGTTACCTCCTGCACTTGGCTCCAGGGTTCTGTCCACGCCCGTCAAGAAGTCCCCAAGCCATCTTGTGCAGTCTCCCATTGAGATGTAATGGAAGGACATGGTCACATCCTTGTCATTCTCCCACTTTTCTTTCATCTTTCTGGCTCCAGGATGAACCGTTGTCCACATTCTGTTCTCTGAGTCAAAGAGGAGGAAGATCTGTCCATCGAAACTGAACTGCCAAGATCCACTGCTGTGTCCTTCAGCTTTCTGTTCACAAGACATCCGGGCCTGCAGGGTGAGGGGTTCTGCCCCCATCAGAGAGAGATCAGCTCTGGTCTTGACACATGTTGAGCCCCCATCCTGTCTGCCTTACAATTTCCTGGTCTTACTCTCTCTGCCACATCCTGGCCTCGCCTCTAGACCTCTTAAGGGGTGATAGGACCTTCCTATTTGTATTTTTACATGAAAACTATAAATGCCTCTAACCTACCACTGTATCTGGCCATCTGAAACTTACCCCTGGGTGTGTAATTCTCCAGCTCAATGTCAAGCAGCTGCTGGGTGAGCATGTCCACCACTTCTCTCAGTACTGGGTTCTGTGCTTTCCAGGCCTTTGTGACATTTAGTTTCTTCCCCAGGGGACTGACGGGTGTGACTGTCTTGTTGCCACAGTCATAGTGAAGAAAAGTCTTTTTGTCCACCTGGCCTTGAACCGCACACCACTGTGGTCCAGGTCTGAACTTAGGGATGATGGTGATGTCATAGCAAAGAGAGTGAGGGTCTGTGGAGAAAGGCAGGTGGGGCTGGGTGGGGAGAAAAATACCCCTAGGTACCCCTCCTCCACACCGTGACAATAAGAGGATGCCTCTGGCAGGCTGGGCTGGCCCAGCAAAGAGTGCCCCCTCCAGAACTGTGGTGTCCACAAGATTAAGCCAAGTGCTCCCCAATTCCATGATGACAAGGAGGAGGAGGAGGAGGAGGAGGTCTCTGCCTGTTGAGAAACCACATGTCCCCAGACATGTCCCACTGCCCCTCTGTCCACATCGGTCAACACATGAGAGGTGCCAGGACTGCTAGAGGAGGAGGGGCCTGTTTGGCAGAGGATCTTCAGCAGCAGCCCATGTGGACTGCAGGAGGTAGGAGAGGGTGTGGGGGCTGCCCCTCAGGATGCTGGTGCATGGTGGGATGGACTGAGGATGGAAATCAGTTGGATAAAGAAGAGTTAATTGTCATGGTCACAGGATTTAACATGTTGGCAAAGCCCCTGCTGATGGTGCTCATCTGCTATGAGGATGCCTTCCTGAAACCTTGGATAAAGAGATGGTCCATGCAGCAAGAAATAGAAAATCTGAAAATCTAAGGCAGGTATTAGAGGGAGAGACCACAGGCTCAGAGAAGGGCCCATGCTGGAGTGCTCTAAGTGTGAAAATCCAGAACAATTTCCATCCGCTGTGCTCATGGGAAGCCTGGAGGACTCCTGTTTACCTGGTATATAAAGAAGGCCCCATAAGAAGACACCACAATGGGATGAAGCGGAGGGATGCCTATTGCTGAAGACCATGGATGGGTGTAGGAGATGCTGTTCCTGAAATGGGCTCCCAGTAGTAACAGGATGAAAAATCCTGAAATAATAGATTCCAGGTGGAGGTATCAACTGTCAGGAGCAAGGAGGGTTCCGTGATGAAAATGATTAGAGAAGTTGCAATGCCAGTTGGTGACCTCAGCCATACAAAGCTTTGCCCATGGCTCATACAACAAAGGGGTCCAAGATCCAGAAGAGATGGAAACCCAATCTGAATACTGCTGGATTTAAATAATCACAACGAACAGTGATAAAACAAATGATGGATGACCAGGAGGCTGAAAGTAGCCAGTCCATCAAGAACAAGGCTGCTTTGCCCAATTTGCAGAATTAAGCCACTTCTCAGAGTCTGAACTCATAACTGGAAGAAGACACCCAGTTTCCAGTGAGGACAGACCCTTTAACTCTGCAGCAAGTGCAATGATTCTTTGTGGGCTTCTCCAAACGTATTTATGGCCACTAGAGTTTGCCGTGAAGGGCAATTTTGTAAATATATAAAGGTGTATAGGGAATATATTCTCCATTCCAACTACTCAACTCTGCTGTTGAAGCTCAAAAGCAGCCATAGACAATCCATGAATGATGAGCAAGGCTGGACCTGCCTTAAGTGCCCAGTGACCCAAGACCCCCTAAGGTCCTAGAGGTACATGTGGTTACAATGTCTAATTGGAGAATCACAACATAGATTCCGTGTGAATGTTCAGAGACAAGGCAATGCCACTCACAGGAAGGAAATCTCAACATTAGAAAGTGTCTCCTGTAGAGTTCTGGGCCTTGGCAGAGATGGGGCCTTTAGCCATGGAAGGGCCGTGACCATGGAGCCTCAGAGCTGCCCATTACAGGTGGGCTCCTCACCCTCTAGGTCATTAGGAAGATAGGCCCAGCAGTGAGAAGACGCAGGTGGTTCTCCTGGGATGGGCAGAAGCAGGGTCACCGGGAACTAAGAAGCTGCACAAGCAGTTGGCCCCGTTCCCCAGGACACAACATGGCTGCACCCTCTCACCCTCAGCTCATACCTCAGGTTTCAGGGAAGGTCGCCGATGGCCCTGGTGGACCATAGATGCCACTCAGCAGCAAAGGAGGGGAGAGTAGACCCTGAACCATGGGACCCTCACTCCCATCACATCCACACCACCCAGAAGCCCCAGGCAGAGTAGGACCACCTTCTACTCTCCAACTGACACCTGAGACACCACTTGGAGATGACACCCTAGGGGATGGGACACTATTCACTGGGACACTGTAATCCCTTCATCTAGGGTCAGTAAACTGGGACAGGGTCCGAATCTGGTCCCCTTTCATTTGCAGGTTGCCATTGCCTGCTGTTGTTCTACAAAGGGACAGGACTGGACACAGAGGCGGAGAACCCAAGGCCTGCAAAGATCACAGGGCATCCTTCTTCCCTTTCTAGAAAGGTTTTGCTGATCCCTGTCTACACAGTAACTATTCTCTACGACGCTGGCTCCCCACTAGGAAGAACAGGCGAGTCTGGGCCCCAAGGGCAGAAGTGGGCGCCTCTACTCACCAGAGTTCCCAGGGTCTCTTGGAGGGAATGGTGCTTCACATCCCCTCTGCACAGGTTCTGTGGGGAGCTTGGGGTGTGTTTGCTGGGGTGTGTCCTCAGGCCAGAGGGAGAAGGTGCCACGTGGTGCAGGAGGTAATGAGGGTGCCTTCATGGATGGGGAGACCTCTGGGGTGACCAGCTGGGTTGAGGTGGGGAGTAAGAGGATATGACCTGGGTGGTTGCAGTGGATGGTGAGGGGAGGGTGGGAAGTGTCTGCTGAGCCCCTGGGTGCGGATGAGTGTCTGCAGGAAAGTGCAGGGAAAAATTCCAGGGCACGCATCCCTGGGGGTGCTGGAGGGTTTGTGTGGTGGAGAGCGGGTGAGAGCAGAGCGGGCTGGTGGCTGGTGGGGGTGTCTGTGATTGTGTCCTTGTGGAACACCTATTAACCCTGTCCTGACCCCAGCTCGAGTTCCGGGGGCTCTGGTTTCTCCTTCCCGAGGGCGGGTGGGACTGCCAGGCTGCACGTGGGATCCCCGCCCCACCTCGCCCTCTGCAGCCCTCTGGCCCTCCACTCTCCCGGGCGGGAAAAGGAATCTAGCCTCCTCTCTGACGGCCTCCTCCCCTCGGAGGATAAGTAGCCTCCAGGAGCGGATCCAGCGGGAAGGAGACGCGAAGGGGAACTGAGTGGGGGCGCAGTCCGGGGAGATCGCACGGGTCCTTCCAGAAACCTCCCCTCCTCTGAAGCCCGCAGCCCACAGCCCCCCACATTTGGCCCCCGCCCCGCTTGGGCTCCATCCGCGAGCTCACCGGCCCGCACCGTCCCGCACCAGACGGACAGCAGGAACAGAAGCGGGAGGCGTAGAAGGAACGCGGGGCTGGCGGCCGCTGCCATTGGGAAATTGGATTGCAGAGGACTACAGACTCGGAGACCAGCCCTTGGATCACCTGGCGGCTCTCAGGCTGTCTGAATGCAGCATTAAAGACACTCGCCCGTCTAACAAGCGTTCTGACCCGCCCCTCGGAGGAAACACGCCCAATCATCGCGCGTCTAGCCAATCAGGTGTCTCTCAGCCAAGTCGTTCAACTAAGCCTACCCCACTTCCTACTGCAGCCTGCGCCGGCCAGTCAGACTCCGCCCTGCCTGTCCCGGACCAGTCCCGTCAAAGGCTTCCTTCCATGACACCCTCATGTAATCATCACTTCATTTTGTATTAACCCAATGTGGATACCGATGCACAGAAAGGTGAAGAAAACGCACAGAAGTGTTCAGCCGCGACAGGGTCTCCCTTTCCTGGCCTGGACCTGTGACACCCACTTTCCCTCTCCCTGCGTTGCAGAATGCCCCCCTCCCCGTCCTGTGCGCAGACCCAAGCTCAGTCCCATCCCCGCGGCCCCATCCCAAATCCCGAGTGGACGTCGTTATAGCCTGGGCTAGGTTTGTTTGGTTGGTTGGTTTTTCTTTCTTTTCTTTTCTTTTCTTTTCTTTTTTTTCTTCGTGACAGTCTCACTCTGCCGCCCAGGCTGGAGTGCAGCGGCGCGATCTCGGTTCACTGCAACCTCTGCCTCGCGAATTCAAACGATTCTCCTGCTTCAGCCTCGCAAGTAGCTGGGACCACAGGTGCGCGCCACCAAGCCCGGTTAAGTTTTGTATTTTAGTGGAGACGGGGTTTCACTGTGTTGCCCAGGCTGGTTTTGGACTCCTGGGCTTACGCGATCAGCCCGACTTGGCCTCTCAAAGTGCTGGGATTACAGGGGTGAGCCACCGCGCCTGGCCCGGGGCTAGATTATATTACAGAAGCACCAGGTTTTCAGAGGCTTCAAAGGACGTATTGTACACTAAACAACTGGTTAAGATAGTAAATTTTATGTTCTACGCTTTTACCAAACTTAAACAGCTTTAAAAATTATCTTAAAAATATATGTCTTGCTGGGATCTACCCAATGCGGATTGGCAAAAAGACTCTGCTCATTAAAATCGAGGACAGCACTGAAAACCTTGTCTCTAAAATCACAACCTGAGACACCTTGCTGATTTAGAAAGCACATCAGAGAGATGGGCCCTCAGCTCCCCTTAGAACAGCGCCCCACCAGGTGTGGGGATGGCCCAGGAGACTCAGCAGAGCAGGTTCAAGTGAAAGCTCCCTATGGCTCCCAACTGCCAGCGCTTGCTTTGGGCCTGTTCCCCCTGGGCAAGGACCAGCCATCCTTCAAAGCTGGACACAAATACCCCCTCCCATGTGTGTCCCTCATCTTCTCACAAGAAAGAACACCCTCCTGCTCCCTGAGGCCTGGATCCACAGTGACGGAGTGTATCCGGATCTCCCCGTGTGACAATTGCTCACACATTTCTTTGCTTCTCTACTAGAAGCACGAGGTCTTTGAGAATATACTAGAT